AATTGCTATTTAAAGCAAAAAACGACAGTATCACTTTTCAAAGTGTGTGTGTGTGCGTGTGTAAGAGACAGAGGGAAGGTGGGTGAGTATGTGTAGGCATAATTCATATTAGTGGGAAAATAAACTTCTGCCTTGTTCTCATTCACATTTGGTGACAAGGAGAGATAGGCAAGAAAGATTTCCAAGTCTCTGTCAAAGATTCTAGACTATGAAAAGGGGTGATGTCCCTTCCATCCCCATCCCCACCCCCCAACCCCCACCCCATGTAGGTAGCCCTTAGTTCTGCAGAGACAAGGATCAGTCTTAAAATGTGCAAAGGCGGGGCCTGGAAGCAGACACTAGGGGAAAGCTCTAGGGAAAAACGTGAGGGGACTCAAGGAGGGCCTTGGGGGCTGGGAACACAGGCAGGAGGCTGGATCTTCCAGAAAGATCAACAAGATGTTCCTAGTGGCGACACGACTGCAAGACTTTTGAGAATGAGGATGGAAAATATACTCAATTTAGAGTTGTTTGCTTTGCTGTGATGTAAAGTCCCCTCACTGCCCCCCATCCTTTAGGAAATTCTGCTGTTCACACAAATGCCTTTTGTGGGGAGGAATCAAGGAAAAGCTTCCTCATCTCTGTGCTCATGGAGCTGAGATAGTCAAGAACACTCAAAGGAGGAGAGATGCAAATGTGCCTGGTCTTCTCTTCCTATCCTGTCCCCATGCTCACTCCTGTCAGGCCCCATGATCCTCTTCCTCTTCCTCTTCCTCTAACGAGCCCACACCACACTACTCTACTCCTGCCTCAGGGCCTTTGCACTTGCTGTTCCCTCAGCCTGAAAAGATCTTGTTCCAGATATCCACATGGTCATTCCTTCACCTTGTTCAGGTCTCTTGGGAGTCCTTTCCTGACCAGTCCATTTAAAACTGCAAACTGCACACCCAACACCCCTCTCTCCCTTCTCTGCTTTACTTATTTTCTTAACATTTATCCCTTTCTAATTTTTTAATATATTTTACTTGCTTTTTGTATTGTCTCTCTTCCCCTCTAGAATGTAAGCTCCATGAGAGCAAGGATTTTTGCCCTTTTTGTTCCTGATATACCCCAAGTGCCTAGCAGAGAATCTGGCACTTAGTAGGCAGTCAATACATATTGGTTGAATGAAGGAATGAATGTATGGAAAGTCCAGTAGAGGCTGTTGTCCAGAACAAAAATTGTCGTTGTTGTTGTTAGGTTCCATCGAGACGATTTTCGGCTCATAGCGACCCCATGTGACAGAGCAGAACTGCCCCATTTGGTTTTCTAGGCTATAATTTTTATGAAGAGGAGCCCTGGTTGGCACAGTGGTTAAAGAGCTCAACTGCTAACTGAAAGGTCGGCGGTTCGGACCCACCAGCCACTCCACAGGAGAAAGATGTGGCAGTCTGCTTCCATAAAGATTACAGCCTTGGAAACCCAATGGAGCAGTTCTACTCTGTCCTCTAGTGTCGCTATGGGTCAGAATTGACTCCATGGCAACAGGTTAATCTTTACGGAAGCCGATTGCCAGGTCTTTCTCCTGTGGAGCTGCTGGGTGAGTTTGAACCATCAACCTTTAGGTTAGCAGCCAAGTGCTTAACCATTGCGCCACCAGAGCCAGAATTAGTTTCCCACAATTTGCAGATACCTCCTGGAGGGCTTTGGACTTCCCTCAGGATATGAGCTGGGGCCATAAACCAATCTTAGTTACTTCTCAAAAGGACAGTGGCCTTGGCTGACACCTGGGCTATGTCCATGACGGCACTTTCACACACATTCCAGTTTGCTAGAGAAAAGAGTGTAGTTAAGTTACAAAGCTAGTAATTGCACCTTACTCGTGCCTATCTTATCTATCAGCTACTTGGAGCCACTGTTACCACTGATAGAGTGAACAAATTACGGTGGTGCTTTCATTTTTCTTTAAGTTAATTTAGGTGTCAAAATCTAGGTGTGCTCGCTAAACTGTGCCAAGTCCAAGATAGTCATACATTGCATAGAATGTTATTCATTGAGAACTTCTGCCCTAGGTGACGATCTGAACTCCTCAGGCAGGTAGCCTGGCCCCAAACCAAACCTTATTTTTTTGCATTTGACTACTAACCTAAAGGTTGGCAGTTCCAATCCACTCCAGCAGCATCGCAGAAGAAAGGCCCGGCGATCTGCTCCCATAAAGATTACAGCCAAGAAAACTCTAAAGACTCCAGATGTTTCCAGCCTCTGGACATTCCTGCCATCCCCAGCCACTTGAGTCTTCCCAGCTGAGGCCCCAGACTTCACAGAGCAAGGGCAAGCCCGCCCCACTGTGCGCTATCCAAACCCCTTACCCACAGAATTCATGAGATGTAGTAAAATGCTTGTTATTTTATACCTCTGAAAAAACAAAAACAAATTCTATGGAGCCACTCTACTCTGTAACACATGAGATTGCCATGAGTTGGATTCTATGGCAACAGGCTGTCTGCTGATGAACTCCATTGTTGCTGCTTGCAGAACTTCTGGGACAACATTCTGATTTTTATGAGGACTCACACGTCCTACTCTTGCTCCTTGTGGTTGGGCGTGGCTCATACCACTTCAACTTGGCAAGCACATGACCCAGGCCTGGCCAATCAGAATATGCTTTCCTTCCTAACTCGTGATTGGGTCACGGAAGGGCACCTGATCAAAGTTGATCCACTGAGCATCAGCTCTGAGACTTTTGCTTGAATTAGTGGAACAGAGGCTCTGTCTCTTTCTGCCTCCATTGCTAAAGTCACAGAATTACAACGTGGAAGTGCTGGTGGCTGTGGCTGCCCTCACACCACGAGGGGGAGAACCTGCCTGAGAATGAAGCCCCCACAGAGGAAGGCAGAGCCAAGGAATGGTTTGAGCATTCGAAGAAGCTCTACCTTGGGACTGTTAAGTTGCTATTGGTAATAAATGCCCATTTCTGCCAAAGCCAAGTTCCTGGGTGGTGCAAATGGTTAAACCACTCAGCTGCTAACTGAAAACTTGGAGGTTCGAGTCCACCTAAAGGCACCTTGGAAGAAAGGCCTGGCCATCTACTTCCATTGAAAATCCTATGAAGCACAGTTCTGACACACATGGGGTCAACATGTATTAAAACTGACTTGAGAGCATCTGGTGTGTGTGGTGTGTGCCCAGGCCAATTTGGATTGGATTTGCCACTTGCAACAGAATTTAGACTAGCAGACTATCCTTTAAGACCCATCTCAAATGTCTTCTCTATGAAATGTTTACAATCCCTCACACCCATGAGGAGTCATTCTTTCATCATGGCACCCCTTGGTGCCTACAGTACCCATGCTGGGCTGTTTCTGTCCACCAGTCCTGCCTGCCCAACTGAGGACCACATGGGCAGGGACTCTGGGTGATACATCTCTCCCTATAGCCCACAGCACTGGGCCACATTGGGCGGCCCTTCAGTAGACAGTCGATGGAAGGGCAAGTTCAAAGGGCAGCTACTGGTCACTCTTGCTTTCCCTGCTCAGGGAGGAAGCCCAGCCTCCTTCCTTCTGGGGACAAGGCAGAACTGTAATGCAAGGCCCTGGTTGTCTTCTGGAGTCCCTAGGTGGCACAAATGGTTAAATTCTCAGCTATTAACCAAAAGGTTGGTGATTTGAATTCACCCAAAGGACCTTGGAAGAAAGGCCTGTCAATCTGTTTCTGCAGAGTCAGTCATTGAAAACCTTATGGAGCACAGTTCTACTCTGACACGCATGGTGTTGCCATGAGACATAATTGGCTCAACAGCAACCAGTTTGGTTGCCTTTTAGGGGCCCTCTCCTTTTCCAAATATCCACAAGACACCAATGCTGGCAAACACATATTGCTTTATTTAGTGTTTCTCTGGATTGCAGAAGTGTCAGCAGTGGGCCGAGACCCCCAGGAGGGCAGCTGGGCAACCCCCAGGTCCTCTGGGGCCGAAGCAGCAGAAAGAGGTGATGCCCTGAGCTCCTCCCAAGGCCAGCCCCTTCCCCAGACTCCCAGGCCAGGGAGGGGATGCAGGGCCAGTCAAGGCCCTCTGTCTTCAAACTGGACAGTGCATGGGCAGGGTGTTGTCATCCTAAGGCATGGACTCAGGCAGAAGTGCTCCTCCACCTGGTGGCCCCCAAGGGGGATTGCTGGTCAGGGAGCCAGATGCACACTTCAGACATGACCCCTGTTTTATGGGGCTCCCTTTCCCTGGGAGAGGCAGTGAGGTGTGCTGAGGACAAAGCTGCAGTACTGGTTTGCCCCAACCTACTGTATGACTGTGGGCAAGTCCCTTCCCCTCAGTGGTCCTGGGTCTCCTGCTCTGTAACACCAGGGGCTGGATTAAATGATCTCTCTGAGTCTTCCAAATCCTATGGTCTAAGACACCTTTCCCCACTCCAGGACCTCCGAGGCTGGGATGAAAATATTAAAAGGGCATCCTTAAGGCAGGAAGAGGGGGGCAGGCAAGGGTGGTCTCAGCCCCCAGGGGGAGGTTGGAGTGGGTTGCAAAGGGTGCAGGTAGGCAGACAGGCAGGCAGACAGAAAGACAGACAGGGTGCCAAGGGGAACGAGGAGGAGAGGGGGGCCTGGGCAGGGGAGAGGGCACCAGAGCCCGGCCTGCCCCACCTCTCAGCTGCATTCCCTGTCCTGCTGGAGTCAGGGAGAACACATCCAGTGTGTCTCGGGGTGGGGAAATGTCTTTTTTAAAAAACAGTTTCCTATAGAGAAAACCTCAGCAAAGTTCCCTTCTCTCAAATATTTGGCATCAGCGGTGGGCTGGCACAGCTCACTCCGGTCCCAGCTTTCCTATTGCTGTGGCCCAGCCTGGCCCACTTCTGGGGTTGCTCCCTGGCCCCCTGACTCCCCTGAGAGAGGGGTGAGCAGGAGGCAGGAGTTTGCAGGTGGGCTTCCAGGTGTCCCTGGGTCCCTGTCTGGAAGCTCGAGTCTTTGGTACTGGGAAGGGGAGGAGGGGATAAGCAAAGCACTGGGGGATGAAAGGGGGGGTCCAGTGGGCACCTTCATCACCGAGAATTCAGTCGTGGGGCCACCTGAGGGCAGAGGAGAAGCCCAGGCTGTGAGCGGGAAGTAGATGGAAGGTGCTCCCAGCGCTTGTATTCACAAGTGAGATGCACGTAGCAGGGGGCTGGGGGGCCTTGTGGCCTCAGTCCTGGGAGGCTCTGCCTAACCAGCGTGGGCCCGTCCTCCCGCCCAGCACCCCCTCCCATCACTCTGGGTCTTCGCCACCTCCCTATACTGCCATCTTTATGACCTCTGTACCCTGGGCATCAAATGGCCCGTCTCTAGTCCTTGTGGGTGGGCAATGGGATGAAGGGGCCAGTGTGTGGAGCTTGATGGACTGAATCCCACGGGTGAGGTGCCAAGGAAGGCTTGGTCATCTGAGGCTCCACCCCAGCCATCAAGCTACTGGCAGGAAAGCAGGCCATGGCCTACCAGGCCCCACTTACCACAGCCAGGTGCCCGTTCTTGGCCTTGGTGATGAGCAGCTCCGAGCCGGGTGTGAAGTCGATAATGCCATCCCTGCCGGGGCCCCCTGCAAATGTGATGCTGGAGGGAAGGGAGCACATGAGGACTCTTCACGGGGACAGAACCTCTCCAAGGGCCGCTGTCCCATCCCTGTGCACGCACACGGCCCATTTACTACCCCACTCGCCTTACCTGCCCTGGTTGATGTTGATGTTGTTCACACGGTCGGCACTGAGGGCCGTCTTAGTCAGTGTCTCAATCACATGGTCACTCTGCAGCACCACGTCCCCCTGGGGTGCCCAAATTCGGGGGGGGGGGTCAGGCCTTGTCCAGAGCTAGAGGAAGGACCCCACCCCTGCCCTGCCTCCCAGTCTCCAAAAGAGCACCTTCTGCTTATTGTCCTCACGCTGTACATGAAGCACAAAGAGGCTGTCGCTCAGGCTGCTGACGGAGATCCCTGAGGGGGGAGGGCAGAGGTCAGGGTTCAAGGGTCAGAGCTGGGCTCTCCTTCCACAGCCCTGAACTCTGGCTCACCGGTCAGGTTGGCGTAATCGATCCTCTGCTTGACTTTGGCATCCTCCACGATGACCACGGCACTGGGTGTCAGCAGCAGCTGCCGGGGGCGAGGCTTGTAGCCCTTGCGGTCATATTTCACTACAGGCACTGCATACTGGGAACAGAGGGTGGGGTGAGGACAGGGGAGGGGCTGAGGGGCCTCCAGGGACAACCTCCTCACCCTCTGCCCATGCCCTGACCCCCTCATCCAGCCTCTGGGCAGCAGAAATATGCTGGACTGAGGGCTGCAGGCAGGTCTTACCTGGATGGGCTCAGAGCCTAGGGCCTGCAGCACTTTGGGGCTGATCTCATCTGTACCTGCAACCCAGATCGGGGAGACAGAGGTGAGAGGAGGAGAGAGAAACCTGGGAGGATGAAGGGCCCAGTACTGGAATGTTAGGGCCTCACCGAGCCGTGTGCTGATGAAGAGCCTCGGGACACTTTGGGGGTAATTATCCTTTTTGCCCTTGAAGATCTCACTGGCCACGGCCTTTTGCTGCAGCTGAGGAGATAAGCCGGGGAAGGGGGCAAGAGGGAGTGGGGCCCATCAAGAGGGGGCAGGCCCAGCCTCAGGAACTGAGATAGCCTCCCCCTCATCCTCTTTCTGGTCCCAACACCAGGAGGCTGAGCCCTGCCACCAGCTCTTCTATCAGTTCCTCCCTTTCATTACCCCCTCCCCCCACCAACCGAGGCTGACAGTGCCCCAGAGAGGTCATAACAGCCCAACTCTGGGGATGATTCCCCACCATATCAGGCCCTAGGGCCCTTGAGACTCAGCTCTGGCCTAGGATCTTGAAGCTAGCTGGCTGACTGCTCATACTCAAAACTATAGGTTCTCCGAGCTGGGGGAGTCCTTTAACATCATCCACTACCAGGCTGACAAACATATGGTACATTAGCCACCACTGCCTGTCCTGGTAACCATGTCAGGCATGACCAATTGATCCTGGCACTGGAACACAGGGGCCTTTTCAACACAGGGCTCTGGGCAGCCTTGACCAATCAAGTGGAGCTGGCTCACTAGATGAACTCTATTTGCCAACCCAAAATCCACTTCAGTCTCCACACATCAGGCCAAAGAGGGGCTGGCATCTGTTTGCGGTGGCACGGTGCATCAGGGGTGAAATGCTTTGTGGGATGCCCATGGCTCCCCTCACCCACTTCTTAGTCCACATCTGTCTCCCTGCTCTCCATACCTGCTGCTTCCACTCAGGGCTGATACTCCTACAGTATTTCCATACCATGTTCTTCATGCACAACTCCCGTAGAAGCTCCGAGGCCTGTGGGAAAGGGTGAGGTTAGAGCACCTAGACAGCTTGGCTCCCTTCCCTCTGAGACGTCAGACATGTTCCCAATGCCAGGCCTTTGCCTAAGCAATGCCCCTGGACAATGTCCCTATTCCTGAGTCATTTCTCTGAAAAGAACGCATTCTTCAAGGCCCAGCTCCAGTCTCCCTCCTTCAGGAAGCCCTCCTCCTTGACAGCTCCTGGGGCCACACAACTGTCAGGGCCCCACAACAAGTGAGTGCTTTGATAGTCCCTAACTCAGCAGGGGTGGCCTACAGACCTCATGCAGGGCAGGTGGGGGCGTGGGCCAGGAGGTGTCCAGGATGTTCCGGGGCAGCTGCCGCCGCAGGTTGAGCAAAAAAGAGGTACGCACATGGTCCAGGAAGAAGGCATTCTCGGGGCAATGGGGTGCATGGCGCAGGATGAAGCCACGAATGAGCCTGGGGTGGGGCCCAAAGGGTAGGGGTAAGAAGCCTGGCAAAGGAACCCCCAACACACCCTGTTCTGCAGCCCCTCATGGTGCCCTGGCGCTCACCGCCGGATTGTCTCTGCTGCCCACTTCCGCTTGGCTGCCTTCCTCCGACCCAGCGTTCCACGCCACCACGACTGGATGCAGGTAGCTGCAGAGACCAAATGGCTGACCTCTACACCCTCACCACGGTGGTGCACCCTAACCCCAGACCCTGCCCCTCCAGAAGACCCCTGGGCTCCCAAACCTGATCTCTTCACCAGGAGGAATTTCTGCCGCCAGTGAAAGCCCCTCCAGGCAGCCTGGATTTTCGTGGCTGTGGGTGAAAAAGAAAGTGAATTGGCCAGAGCTCAGGGGATCCTAGGCAGGCACTGTCAGAGCCAGTAAGTGAGAGGATAAATAGGGGCCAGTAAATGAAAGTGAGAAGAAGGGAGTATCCGCATGTAGAACATGCTCAGAGTTTGCATCCGGGGTGCAGGGCAGATGGCAGGAGTGGGAGATGGTATGGAGGAGGAGAGCTGAATTTCCTGGAGGAGCTCAAATGCAGTGACCCCTTCCCTGCTCCTTAGAATGGACTCCAATGGGCCAGGAAGGGTGGGCCCTTCTCACCCAGGCTCTGCCGCCGGACCTCCAGGGCATCCTCTGTGGCAAACAGGGTCTTTGGGAAGCGGATGAAGATCTTGGTCCTGGGAAGGCATCAGAGGTCAGACCCTGGTTACCCCCCAATTCCCCCACCCACCAACCATGGGCACCACTCACCGGCCCATCTTGTACTCCTCTGGCTTGTAGCCGAGGTGTCTGACCAGCACAGCCACCCCATCCTGGGGCCGCCCTGCCCATGTGGGCCATGTCTCTGGGCAAAGCGACTTGTACCTGGGAATGGGGAGAAGCAGGAATGCACCCCAGTCTCTGGCCCAGACAGCACCCTTCTCTGGGGGCTCAAACAAGTTTTTCCCTGGGCACCTGCTGGGTGCACACACTGACTTATTCACAACCCACAGAAAGCCTGGGAGGTTTTTCTGTTACTGTTCTATTTTCAATATGAGGAAACTGAGGCCATGTTATCTGCCTAAGGCCATGTGTTAGAAGTGAAATTCACACTATGAGACTCCCCAGGCCTCTAACTTGGGATAACCACAAAACTTCACTATCTTCTCTGGGCTTCTTGGAAGCTGTCCTCCTTGCAGGCTTGCTACCTCTGCCTCTGGGGATAGGTGTGTGGATACACGCCTCAGGTACCCCCAACCAGGTTCTCTGTGAGGGCAGGGCCTACACAGCCTGGTGTTCTTTCTGTAGGGCTGACATCAGGCACGCAGCATGGAGGGGTTCCACAGCTCAGAGCCTCAGTGTCCTCACCTCTGAAATGGGGCTGAGAATCCCTGTCCTTCCCTACGGCATCTAGGAGGCTCCAGTGAGGCTAGCCTACCCTCCTCCAACCCTTCTCCCTGGCTGGGAGCCAGGCCCTGTCCCACCTCTGCAGGAAAACCTCGTATTTGCGACGATAGGCAAAGCCGGCTCTGCGCACGCGCAGGTTCTCCATCAGCCCCAGGTACTTCACTTGGTGCCGGATCAGGACCTCGTCAAAGCGGCCTGGTGGCGGGGGGCGGAGAGGGGTGGTCAGTGGCCTGGCACTGGCAATGTCCCCTGCAGGGGAGGCCTCGCACACAGGCCCTGGGATGGGAGGCACCTACCGGGCTGCTTGGCATCATTGGGCTTGATGCAGCGGATGTAGGCGGGCTCCTTGGACTTTAGGATCTCCACCAGCTGCAGGAGGCTCATCCTGAACTGGGTGGCAACCTGGTGGGTCAAGGGTGGACGGAAGGTTGGCTGGAGCTGTGCTGAGGCTGCTGACCCGTGCAGTGGCCCCTCCCTGCACACGGCAGCACCATTCCTACAACGGCCCCACCCCTCTGCTTGGGCCCTCCCTCCTCTCCTACCACCACCCCTCCCTCACACTAGAAGAAGGGCCAGATTTCACCCCATAACCCTCCTGCTGGGCTACAGACCTTGACTTAGGAACCTTACTTCATACCCTAAAAATCCTGCTCAGGCCTCCCCAAATCTCCCTTTGGCAAACACCCTTTCTTTTTTCTGGAACTTCATGGCTGAGTTCCTAAACAATATCTCCTAACCCTATATATTCAACCAGTATCTCTGAACACTGCTCTGCAGGACCATCAGGCACCTCGGGCCTGTGGGGAAAGCAGACTTCTCAGCAAAGACTCGCAATCCAGAAATCCAGGGATTCTGGGAGCATCAAGGAAGGGCAACTAATCCAGTCTGTGTAGTAGGGAGCATCAGGAAAGTCCTTCTGAAGGAAATGACTCGTCAGCTGAGATTTCAAGGATAAGCAGGAGATAGCCAGTAGGAAGAGATGAGACAGGCAGAGGGACAGCCTGAGCACAGGCTTAGTGTATGCAGGGAGCTACAAGCAGTGAAGGGATGCAGATGGGGTTACGGAGGCTGGCAGAGGCAGAATCATGGCAGGACTCGAGAATCACATCAGGGAGACTGAGGGAAATAGGGGGCCAACAAGGACTGTGGAGTGAGGGAGTGACAGGGACAGATATGCATTTTGGAATATTATTACAGCACATATGTGGAGGATGGGCAGTAGGGATAGATGGGAAGCTGGGAGACCAGAGAGGAGGCTGGCCGGCTCAGAGGAGAGGTAACAAGGACTGAACTGCACCAGTGGTTATGGGGCCGGGGCCAAGGGAAGGAGCTGAGAAGTATTCAGGAAACAGAAAATCCCATAGTTGCTTGGATGGAGGAGTGAAGTCAGGGATAATGCCCAGGTTTCTGGCCTGGGAGACTGGGTAGAGAGTGATCCTTGTCCTGAGTTGGGGACACAGAAAGAGCAGGACTGGGGGGCTGGGCAGCCAAGGGGCCATTATAGACCAGTGGAGTCTGGGGTGCCCAGGGGCCATGTCGGGGAGATGACTGGATACATGAATCTGTGGCTTGCTGGAAAGGCCTGGGCAGGAGCAGGCATGCAGGCGTCCTCAGTGAGGGTGGGAAGATGAGGGTGCTCAGGGAGAGGGCTAGGGGAAAGCAGTAGAGGGTGGGGTCCCTGGGAGCCAGACCCCGGGCAACACACTGCCTCCGCGACTCCCTCCCAAACATGTCCCAGCCTGAAGCACTCGCCTCTACCTCACGCCTAAGTTCTCTCCTACTGGAGCTGCCCTGGCTGTCCTCTTGCCAGCCCAACAGCCCCGCCTCTGTCCTCAGTTCACAGAGCTCTCCTGGCATCTGGCACCATGGGCCACACCTGCCTTTCCCCACCCTCTCCTTGATGATGCCACTCTCCTGGCCTTTTTGGGACTGTCTGTGTGCCTATACTGGTCCCTCACTGCCTGCAATGCCCTTCTATAGGTTCATTTGGCATGCACCTAAAAACCCAAAACAAACCCACTGCCATCAAGTCGATTCTGACTCATAGAGATACTACAGGAAAGAGTAGAACTGCCTCATAGTTTCCAAGTCTGTAAATCTTCAGAGAAGCAGACTGTCACACCTTTCTCCCATGGAGCAGCTGGTGGTTTGAACTGTTGACCTTTAGGTTAGCAGCCAAGTGTTTAATCACTGTGCCACCAGGGCTCCCGCCATGCGCCTACTCATCCCTAAATTATCTCAAATGTCTCCTCCTCCAGGAAGACTTCCCTGATCGCCTTGCCTCTTCTACTCCCTCAGGCACAGTTTGCCACTCTCTTTCCTAAGTTTCCAAAGGACCCCATGCACATTGTGTGAGGGCACCTGTTCATTTTTGTATCCTTGGTGCTTAGCAATTCCTGCAGTGAATGTCTGCTTAGTGAGTAAATGCGCAGAAGTGCACACACAGAGACAAGTATACACACAGATGTTCAGACACAGGCAGGTGTACACACATGGGCACCAAAGATAGGTGTACACATAGTGCACACAGAGACAGATGCACACACATAGTACCTACAGAGGCATGTGAACACACGTGAGTGCCCACATAGACAGGTGTATACACAGGCACAAACGCACCCACGGGCAGTCTCATACAGACACACAGATGTACACACGGGCACCAACAAACACACAAGCTCACGAGCACTGCCAAACTCCCAGATCATGCAAATGCTCATTTACACACACACACACAAGCGTGCGTGCGCCCCCTCTGGTCCCACAGCTCCACACCGTCTCTGGCCGCTTCTTGTCACTGAGTTCACTCCGGTCGAAGCACTGGCTCATAATGGGATTCTCCGAGCTGCACATGGTCTGTGAGGGCACAGGTGGGTGTCAGGGGGGACGACAGAGGCAGAAAGAACAAATTCCTGGAACAGATGTGCACACAGAGGTGTGGGCTCCCCCCACCTCAGGCGCCTCCCCCTCCCCCAGTCCTCCTCACCTCCTTCAGGTTCCGGAAGAGAAGGTCGTTGTTCTTATCCAGAAACCCTGGGAGGGGACAGCAGATGTGAGGTGAGGGACAGCCCTCTGCCCTGGCCCCTGTGGGGACCCAGCCCCAGGATCCTCACCAGTCACGCTGTAGGTCACCTCCCCAGCATAATGCAGAAGGCGGAACTCGCCGCGGCCCAGAGATTTCCTGGTCCGCTGGTCGGCCATCTTGTGCCTGGGGATGGCAGGGAGAGGAAGCTACAGTTTGCTGGCCTGAGCCAGGCACCTGCCTGCTAAGGAGACTTCAAGAGCAGGAACCAGTCATCCAGTAAGGAGTAGGCACGCTCCAGGGTCGTCCACGTCAGACTGTGCTGTTAGAAGGGGCAGGTGTCATCATCAGGAGACTACAGAGGCTCGGGGAGGCAGACAGCCTCATCCAGGGTCACACAGTGCCAGGACTGGGACGCAGGCCTCTGGACTGCCAGGTCACGCTGGGTGGGGGCTACTTTCTTTGTCTCTAGCTATTGCGTGACTCTGCTCAGAAGGCTGAGAGCTGCTCACTACATTTTAAGAATAGAATCTTCTCCCAAGAGATTACTTAAGTCTTAAGCATGTTGATACCCTTTAGCCCATCTTCTGCTTTTAAGAAGTATTCCAAGCAATTAATCAAAAATACAGACACGAAGATATTTGTGGCAGCCTTGTTATTCTAGCAGAAACCCGGAGGCTGGCCAGGGGCCCCAAAAGCTGGGTGAGGGTGGCGGCACATCATGGGTTAAAGGACCACGCAGCCATTGCAGGAAGTGTTTTGAGGAAATTTTTCTGTTTGATGATACAGGAAAATACTCAGGATATAACTTATCCTGAGCCTTATACACAATGAGTTCTCTACTATGAAAAAAAAATGTATAGAAAAAGACAGGAAGGAAATGCCTCAAATTGTTAACAGTGATGACCTCTGGGGGCAGGATTACAAGTGACTTGTGCACACATTCTGGCTTTTCTCTAATGAGCAATGCTATTTTTATAGTCAGAAACATGTTTTTAATATATTACTAAGCAAACAAAATGTCCAGGGCTTTGCTATCAGACAGCCTTGGGACTGAGTCCCAGCTCTGTAACTTACAAGACATGTGATAACCTTGGGCAAGTGAAGTCACCTCTTTGAGCCTCAGTAAAATGGAGCCAACACCAAGGGCACCTCCTTCAAGGGGTGCTGTAGGTTAGAGGAGATACGCACAGAATCATAGGTCAGAGCTGGGACAGAGGTGCCTGATTCTGTTGCTATCCCCCTCTTAAATAAAAAGCAATTTCCAAATAAGGAAGCTAAAACATATCTTAACAAGTTCGATTCTCAAAAAAGAATCAGTAGGAAGCCATGCCGCTGGCTTCTTTCTTCGTGGACATGGTGTGAGCTGCGGCTCAGCGTGACTGTCCTTACTTAGCACCTCCCTGGTTATCTCCTTGTGGCTGGTGTTTTAGGAGTCTGTAGCCATTTCCAACTCTCTGGGGTCTCCTGACTTCCACCAAGACTGCAGGGATGGTGTGTGAGTGGGCCTGTGTGCAGGGGGTTAGGGGGACAGAGCCTTCCACAGGCTCTGCGCAAACGGGCCCTCGCCCCTAGCAGCCCGGCAGCCCAACTCACGTCAAGAAGTGTGGATGGTGCTTGATGGTGTCCTCCAGCTTCTCCAGGAAGGTCAGATCCGTGGCCTCCCCAGGGCGCAGACACTCCTCATCCTGGGGGATGTGGGATAGGGTGAGGGATATGCTGGGGGAGGGGCTGCGGAGCACAGGAGGTTCAGGGGCACAGTACGGGGAGCACAGACACAGGGGGCAGGGGCAGCTCATAAGGAGTCGCCCTCAGAATGTGTCCAGATCTCACCTTCCACACACAGCCCTGGCCTGTCCCCCCCTCAGCCCCAAGCTCTGACCCTGTGGACAGGCCCGGAGAGAAAGAGGAAGGGGTGGTGTCCGTGAGGTCTTGAAGGAGTAGAGGACTCACCAAAATGGAGATGATGCCCTTGAACTTCTCCTCCACCAAGTCACAAATGATCTTATTGTTGAAATACTGGACAGGCTCCCACTAAGGGGTCAAAGGGCAGGAAGGCATTGTCATGGGGTCCTAGTGCCCTCTCCCTGGGAGGCCCCAGTGCCTGGGCTTCCTGGGGTTCATGCACTCACCGCAATGCCCTCAGCCTCATATTCCTCCTGTTCGGACTTGAGGGTGAGCTCGATGAAGAGCTGCTGCAGCTTCTCGTTGCAGTAATTGATGCAGAATTGTTCAAAGCTGGGAGGGAAATAGAAGACCCACAGGAGCTCAAGGGGGATGCAGGAGCAGGGGAAAGATGGGCCCGGACCCCTGACAGCTAAGGTAAGAAACACAGAGCAGGACCAAGGTGTCTGGGGAGTATCAGGCAGGAATGAGAGAAGCAGGGGGACAGAGAGAGGGGCCAGGGTAGGGGAGATAGGAGGACAGACAGGCAGAGGGAGGCTGGCACTGACCTGTTGTGCTGAAACACCTCAAAGCCATAAATGTCCAGGAGCCCAAGGACTGTGGTGCTCCGCCAGCTGGGGCTCTCAGTGTCCTAGGGCCAGTCATTCAATTGAGAGTATGGATTCAACATTTGCGGACTCCCAGTCCCCATTCTCCCTGGACTGCCCTCCCTGCTACCTTGGAAGCAGCCTGGGTTGAGCCCTCACCTTGGAGGCCAGTGACCTGTTGATTTTCGCAACCAGCCAGGTGAAAGTGCGACTGTATACAGCCTTGGCAAGAGCATCTCGCGCGTATGCGGCCTGTTCCAGGTTCAGTGGGCTCAGGAGCTGCAGGTGTAGGGCAAGACAGGGAAATGAACACCCAGACCGCCTCCGCGTTCCACTTTCCCTTCAGGATCAAGCAGAAGACCAGGAAACTAGGACTACCTGCCTGCCCCACTCCCAGTGACCCTAGTTGCGGGTGGGTATCGGGGAGGACACAGCGGCCACACCAGAGAGAAGGTGATAAAGGGACAACAGGTCTCATTCCTGAAGGTAGGAGTCTTGGTTGCAATCTGACTGTCACCCTCTTTGTTCGTGACCTTAGCCAGCTCATTGTGCCTCTAAGCCAATAGATTGTTGTTAGTTGCCATGGAGTCAGCCCCCGACTCATGGCGACCCCGCGCACAATGGAAGTGAAACATTGCCCAGTCCTGCACCATCCCCACAATTGGTTGCAGATAGGACCGTTGTGATCCATAGGGTTTTCGTTGGCGGATTTTTGGGAGTAGATCACCAGGCCTTTCTTCCGAGTCCCCTGAAACCTGTTCAGCATCATAGCAATAGATAAGCCTCCACTGACAGGTGGATGGTAACTACACTTGAGGTGCACTGGCCGGGAATGGAATCTGGGTCTCCTGCATGGAAGGTGAGAATTCCACCACAAAGGCACCGCTTGACCCGACAGACAGCACCTGCCTTGGGTCCCTCCAGCATGGCTGAGAGGGCCAGCTGAGCAGACCAGAGGATGGGGGAGTGCTGCGGGGTGGAGGGCTGCCATGGAACACCCACACATCTCCCTCCCACACACCTTCTAAGGCAAAGGCTCGGCCTCACCTCTTCTCCTTTGGCGATGATCTTCCTATGTGTCAAGGCTTCCCGCAACGTCGAGCCTTCCACACCAAGGAGCTGCCAAGGGTGGGAGCGTGGGCATGGTGAGGGTGCACCCCTCTGGCCCCATTGCCCTTCCCCTCACCCTCTGCCCACTCCACTCACCCTGATCAGATACTTGAGCTGGTTCTCAGTGGTGACCTGGGCATTGCTCTCCTCATTGGCAGCAAAGTGGATGTTGCCCAAATGCAGGACACTGGCCACGATGCTCAGTAGGTCCTGGGGGAGGGGGCAGGGGACAGGTGGGGGTCCCAGGAGGGGCACAAGGCGACTAGCGGGTGGTCAGATGGAGCAGGGAATAGCATGTGAGAGAAGAGGGCTATAAATGGACATGGGTTCTAAAGGCAGAAGGTGACTTTCAGGGTGTGACAAGAGGAAAGGGAGGGTCGCCAGCAGAGCCTCACCTCCACTTCATCCTCAGTGAAGTCGATGACGTTCAGAGCCTTCCTGACCACCTTCCAGTCACTCTTGTCATTGATGGAGGAGACTTTGGCACACTGGCCCTAGAGGAAGGGCATAGTTGGGTTACCAGTCCTGCTGGCACTGTGCCCTCTGCGTGGCATCTGCCCTGCCTGCCAGCCACTCACTTTCACCAGGTACAAGTAGCTCTGGGGGTTCCGCTCCAAGCCCAGCCTGCGTAGCGTCTCCTCTTCGCCCCCCTCCAACAGCTGGTAGAAGATGTGGAAGTTCCTCTCACCGTGATTCTGGTGCACCACCCGGGACTTCTCCAGGAGGTAACTGAGGATATGGCCACCCACGGGGGCACCCTGTGGGCAGGGGAGGGCACAGGGACAGGTCAGGGGCACTGGGGAGTAGGGCTCATCTTCTCTTCTCTCCCATGCATTCCTAGGCTTTGAAATCAGCCAGACCTGGGCTCTAATTCCAGCTCTGCCACTAGCTGTGTGGGTTCAGGCAAGTCACCCCCTCTGACCTCAGTTTCTGCATCTAAGAAATGGGGAGATTGAACCCCACTTCAAGGGGTTGTCATGGAGACATGACCTACTTGGCAGCTCCACTTGGATGCCCAATAGGTATCTCAAACACAGAAGGCCTACAATTGACCTCCTAATCTCCCCCTCCTCAAACTAGCTCCTCCCAGTATCATCCCCTCCTGGTCAATGGTGATTCCATCCATCTCGTTCAGACCAAGAAGTTTGTGGTCATCCAAGAAGCCTCTTTCTCTCTCACACCCATACTGAATCAGACAGAAAATCCTGCTGGCTTAATCTCCAAAACATATCTGGAATCCAGTCACTGCTCACTACCTCCACTGCCACCACACTAGTCTGAACCACCGTCATCTGTCACCTAGATTATTACACCAACTTCCTAACTGGTTCCCTGCTTCCGTCCTGGCCCCCTACAGTCTATTGTCAACATAGGAGCCACAGTGATCCTTTTAAAAGGAAAATCCCTGTTCAAATCCCTCCAGTGGCCCCCCCTTCCACTCAGAGTGCAAATCAAAGTTCTTACAAAGACCCACAAGGACCTGCACCATCTGGCCTTCCTATCTCACTTCTGGCCTCCCTTGCTCTCTTCTCCAGCCACCCTGGCCTCCCTGCTGTCCCTTGAACATAGTGAACATGCTACCACCTCAGGGCCTTTGCATTGGCGATTCCCCCTGCCTAGAATCTCTCTCCCCAGGTATCTGCATAGTCTGCTCGGCCATCCTATTCACCTTATTTAAAATTGCAACTACCTGCCCCTTACTTCGTTTTATTTTTCACTGTGACCCTTGTCACCTAATTTGTTATTTTTTGTTTATCGTGTATCTCTCCAGGAGCAGGGATTTTTGTCTGCTTTGTTTCACTGCTGCATCCGCCAGCACCTGGAACAGTGCCTAGCACACAGTAGGCACTTAATAAATATTTGCTGGACCTGGCCTGGGGGCACCTGGTGAACGGGAGCCCCTCTCCCCCTCCCCCGACACACCCACAGGTACCTTGAAGTCAAACTGCACGTCCATGTATTTCCCAAAGCGGCTGGAGTTATCATTCCGCAGGGTCTTGGCATTTCCAAAGGCCTAGAAGGGGGCAGGGGTATGAGGAACGCCTGGCATTTCCCTCTCCCCCAGCCCCTCTCAGATGCTGCTGTCCCCTCACCTCCAGCACAGGGTTGCTCTGCAGCAGCCGGTCACGCACAGCACCCCCCCGTGCGGGGGCTGGGCAGGTCTCCGCATAGAACTGCAGCAGCTTCTTGGTGGCCTCCGTCTTGCCTGCCCCACTCTCCCCAGAGATCATCACGGCCTGGTCCCGGCGTTCTGTGCGCAGTGCCCGGTACACAGTGTCTGCCACTGCGAACCTGGGGGCAGAGGCTCATCAGGAGGTAGAGAGTCAAGCGGTTGCAGGTGCTGGAGGGGTCCCTCAGGTGAGACTGGAGGTCCACTCCCATATCTGGTTGAAGACCATTTGTGGGTGGGAGTCGGGTGGACCCTTAAGGATGGGGCCTAGGGGGTCTCTTATGGGTGTGGTCAAGGTGATCCTTCAGCTAAAGATGGGGGGTTACTTTCAGAGGGAGGATTGAGGTGACTGCTCACGACTGGGGCTGCTAGAGGTCACTCAGGTAGAGGCTGGGGTCACTTACAAGTAGGACTAGGGGGTTCCTCATAGGTGGTAGTCTGAGGGTCACGAAGGTTAGGGGGCCACACCCAGGTAGAGCTGGGAGATAAGTCATGGATGTGAGTTGGGGTGGGGGCTGGTGAGGTTCTTCCTAGATGGAGTTGAGAGATTTACTTCAGGTAGGGCTTAGGGATCATTCTAGAATGAGGGCTTATGGAATTTCTCACAGATATGAATAGTGATTCATCCTCAGTGGGAGGTTGGGGATTATTTTAAAATGAGGGTTGAGGTGGGGTCACTCTCAGATAAAGATGGGGGGGTCACTGTGGGGGTAGTGGGGTCACTCACAGGTGGGGGGGCACTTCATAGAAGCTGACACCACGGTAACGCTCCATGTGCTGCCGGCTGTAGATCTGTAGGTCCCGGTAGGGGTTGACGGAGACCAGGACGGGGCCAATGTAGGTCTGGAGAGTTGGGAGAAGTAGGTCGTACATTCCTCCTAGAGGTCCTGGTGTCTCCCTTATCCCTCATCCCTGCATCTGTGCCCCCCAGCACCCCAGATATCTCCCCACTTGGGCCTTACATAAATGAGGTTTTCCCGGAACCGCCGCCGCAGGTTCTCGATGAAGGCCGCCTCACTGGTGAAGTTCTCCAGCAGCACAAAATCCTGTACCCCAACCCGGTCACGGGCGGTCAGTGCACTCTCCATGGTCACCCGCACCCCGTCACTGCCCAGGGCCTGCAGGGAATGAGCCATAGGAGAGGGTTACAGCCAGCAGGGTAAGGCAAGGCCAATTCTCCCCCTCCACCATGGCCTGTGGGGTTGAGAGGGAAAACCAGGGGCATGTGGCCACAAGGGGCTTGGACATAGGACTCAGAACACTCAGGACATGGAACATGCTGGGTGCACAGGGCCTGGGTCACAGGACACCAGACAGAGGAAACAATGAACACAGGGCACTCAAAACAGTCCATGTGGGGGCACATGAGACCTGGACACAGGACACCTGGAGCACAAAGGACGTGGAGGACATGGGAGCAAGGCCACTGAGCCCAGGAAGGTACTGGTTTTGTGTGCAGAAAGAGGGGTCAAGAGAAGGAACTCCTCCGAATACTGAGAAGAATGCTCCGTGACCTTGGGCAAATCCCCTCCTCTCTGGATGGCTTCCTTCTCAAGTAAGAGGAGCGAGTTAGACCAGGTGACCTCAGGTCCCTTAGCTCTGCGCCACGTGTGACAGGTGCTTTGGAGGACAAATGGCTCAGGGTATTTTGCAGACAAGGTGGGGCTATCTCTTCCGCCCCTACCCCCACCAAAGTCTCCATGAGGAGAGTGTCTAGGGAGAAGCAAGAGACTACCCTCAGGCCTGAGGAGAGGGATTCCCAAGGGGCTACCCACTCCAGCTAGGCTCAACCCTTTCAAGAAGGGGGTGGCCCTCCTTCCCATCTCTGTGGCCACTCCCTCCCCTCCAGCTGCTGGACTCCCCAGACATTCTCCTTCACTGAAAGTCCCCAGAGGCCTCAAGGGGATGGGGGTTTCACCACAGAAAGTCCAGCTGGTGTTGGGGGAATACAGGCTCAGCAAAGCCCTCACCCCACAACCCGAGGGCTCAGATTCCTCTTCAAAGAGGGTCTAGGGGCTCTAGGAAACTGACAGGACCAAGAGTGTCAAGGGTCAGAGAAGAGCAAGGTGGTTGTAGGCAGTGTAGATCCCAAAGGCCCCCAGTACTCCGCTGACCCCATGTAGCCCCGATCTCTGGCCCGGGGGCCTGTGGCTCCCAAGCCAGTCCCTCACCTCTCCCCGCTCCAGTCTAGCCCCAAAGCTGTTGCCAAATCTGGCAGCAGTCCCCGCCCACTTGCCCTCCGGGTAAAGGGTCTCGGTGCTCCCTGCCATCCCTGGGAGCTGTTTTCCCAGTCCGGGTCCGAGCGCCCTGTGGCGCTCCCCGCCTAGGCCTCCTCCCAGCAACTTTCCGGGACGTTTTTCCACCCCGAAATTCCTGGGCCGCGCCCGCTTCCTGGCGGGACCCAGGCGGCGCCGCGAGGTAGGGAAGGACGCCCGCGACCCCCGCGATGGTCGCCACCCCCGCTCACCGACGCCCGGTAGCGCATACTGCCCGGCCGGCCTGGCGCCCCGCTCTGCTGCCCCCGCTCTCGGGCTCGGGCCCGAACTCGGCGGCGGCGGCGGCGGCGTCAGAGAAGGAGGGGCCGGCCCGCCCCCGCGCCGCCCCCGGAGCGGGCCCCAGAAGCGCGGGACTTCGCCGAGCTCCCGGACCTCGCTCCGGACTCGGACCCTCGGGTCCCTCTCCAAAGGGTGAGGGTGGGATGGGCACTAAGGTGGACCCCCGCACGCGGCTGGGGGCGGGCGGGCGCGGGGGCGGGGCTCCTGCCGGGCGGGGGCTCTGCCTGAGTCAGGTTTTCCAGGAGGGACGTCGTTGGTTCCAGGGTGGGGCCCGGAACCTGGGCGGCAGCCGCGTCTATACGGACCCGGAACTGACTTCCGGGCTTATGTCTACGCTATGCAGCCAGGCCAGGCGCAGGACGAGGGCTGAGGCCCGTGGGTCTCTGAGCAAGCAGGATTCCCCTCCCACCCCCCTTGCTCCAACCTCGAGTCCCGGGAAAAGTTAAAAATAGAACGAAATGTCCAAATACGGCCGGCGTGCCCAGGCGGGCGGAGCCTCCGTGTGGGACCTGGTCCCCCCCATACACATCTGGAGGCGGGCCCCGCCTCTTTAAGCCTGGAGAAACTCTCTTTAGGCCCCCGCGTCAGCACGGAGAGCGCGCCCCAAAGTGGGGACGGTCACAGGGCGTCCTAGGCGAGCGCAGTGTGTCCTCGACCCCTATGGAGGTCTGTTTCCCATATGGGAAATCCTCGTCTGACCTCCAGCATTTGAGGCCAATACCTCTGCCCCCCATCCCAGACAACCCAACACGAGCCTGTGTGCTCCAAGGGCCCCTCATCTCTTCGTCTGCTATAGGCGGGACACTCCCTCTTGTCCCTCTGGATCACTCCACACCCTCTTCCAGGACGCTCCCTTCTTCCCAAGCCAGCTCCAATCCTCACTGGGGCCTCAGGAGACACAGGCTCCCTTTGGCCCAGGGGCCGAACTCTAGCTCAGACCTGACCGCTAGTGGGAAGGTGGTTGCTAGAGCTTGGAAAGGGCTTGGCTTTTTCTTGCTAGCAGTATGACTTGCAGCAAGTCACTTATCTGAGACTGTTTCTTCATCCTTAAAATGGGGCTAAACCCGTTGCTGTCGAGTCGATTCTGACTCATAGCGACCCTATAAGACAGAGTAGAACTGTCCCATAGGGTTTCCAAGGAGCAGCTGGTGGATTCGAACTGCTGACCTTTTGGTTAGCAGCGTAGCTCATAACCACTGCGCCATCAGGGCTCCAAAATGAGGTTAATACCTGCCTAAAAGGGTTGTTGGGAAGGGTAAGGTAAAGCGCAAGGAACCTCCCGGGCCTTCAGTAAACTCATTTCCCTCCCTGCCCTTCCTTCTCTCCGCCAGACATTCATTCCACACATGCTTGGGGAAGACCTACTAAATGCCATATCCTGGGCCAGCTGGGTCACACTTACCTAGGGGGGAAAACCCCTCAGGCGTTTATGCCAGTTATAAAGAGCTCTCAAGCGCCCTGGAGGTAGGTACCTGTCCACACCTGACAGATAAGGAACCCGAGGCGCAGAACGGCGAACACTAACTTGTCATAGGCGGAAATAGGGACAGGACCCTAAGCCCCACCGCGCCCCACCCTCAGACCCGGGCTCCCTGGGAAGGGGTGAGGCTGCTGCAGGTGCGGGCTGCGGCCTCGTGGGGAAGCCTCATTACCTCGAGAACAACAGCCTGGCCGGAGCCGCGGCCCGGGGGACCCCGCCGGGGGGCGCCAGCTGGGAGATGGGACCCTTGGAGAGGGCGAGGGGACTGGGTGCTGCCGCGCGCAGCTGGGAGATGGGTGGAAGAGGAGGGGGGGTTGGGAGGGTAAACGCCGCCGGCAGACGCGGGCTCGGGGCGGGAGGCGGCGCCCTCCGCGGTGTCCCCGGGTTTAAAATCCAGAAGGGAGCGGGGGACCCAGCCTCCAACCCACCCAATAATGAGGAGTGCATTTGCAGACTGTGGGGGAAGGTTGAGAGAGCCCCCACTAGGAGTACGGCACCCTCTCCTCCCCCGGCGCCTGAGGGGGCCCCAGCGCCCGCGGGTTGAGTGTCGGAGGGAAACAGGCTGGAGAGCAAGGCGGAGCTTCGCGGCCGCAATGCCCGCCCCGCCAGCCGCCGCGTCAAGCGGCTGGAATGAGGGGAATCCGCGCGCGGAGGGGTCCGGCTGGCTACCCACCCACCCCGAGCTTCGCCGCCGCATTCCCCGGATGCCCGCTGGCGCCCCCGCAGCCGCCGCCCGGCGGCGGAAGGAGGGGGCGTCTCCAACAGCGGGCGGGCCTGAGGGCCGGCCCTGCCCCCGCGTCGGCCACCCAGGCCCCGCCCCGCCCCCGCCCCCCTAGTCGGAAGCTTGGGCCTCTGGAGAGGGGGAAGGCGAGGGTGGGAAAAAACCGCGGCAAAGGCTGCAGCGCCAGGCGTTCTTGCGTTCTGAGCGCCTTCTCCCGTTATTCCCCTCAATGCCCTAGCCAGGCCACAAGGTCTGTATTATCATCTGCATTTTACATATGAGGAAGCTGAGGTTGGGCAGATGAAGTGACTTGTTCAAGATCTCGGGGCTAGTAAAAGGAAGAATGGGATTGAAACACCCAGGAACCTAGCACTTGCTGCTCCTGCAGGGCTGCCCTGAGGAGAGTCCAGCCTAGTGCAGTGTCTTCCTCCTGACTTCCCAGTCTCTCTGTACGGACTTCCAGGGCTATCCTGCCTGACTGTGAACTGCTTCGGTGACCCCCTGACTGCAGTGCCCAGAACAGGCCCCTGTGGGTAGTGTGTGGCTCTATTGACATGCAGGTCTTGCGAGTAGCAGCCAGGGAGTGGGCCATGGCCTTTGGGGGCCCCAACATAGCCTTGGGCTTAGGAGCTGGCTGGGGTGGGGTCATGGTCCCTGAGTAACATAGGACATATTTCCCAAGGCTATCGCTGGGTCTCCTCGCACCTGGGGAGGTGGTTCCCAGAACTGTGGCCATGTGGCAGGCCCAGCAGCCCTGGGTCATCCTGTGCCCTTCACCTAGTGCGGGCCAGATGTCCCCAAGCCTGACCTCTGGGGAAGTGGGTCAGGGGAGGGTAGTGGGCAGCCTTATATGGTCCCCCAGCCCAGGGCCACACTCATCTGGAGGGGGCTGTTCTAAGGAACCTCAGGCTGCTGTTATAGCTGAATTCCACTGAGGCAGCCTCATGGCCTCTTGGGGCAGGGGAAAGACAACCACAGGTTCACTCACCAGCAGCACAGTGCAGGCACAGAGCAGGTACTCAATTTATATTTATCAGACAAATCTTAGGTCTGGGCCAGGCTGTCCCACCAAGGACTGTTGTGAGCGGGAATGGGGAGGAGGACATGGGGGGTTAGGGGGTTCTACCTTGATTGCTCCCAGGGCCCCAAGTGAGGGCTGTACACTCCGACTCCAAAACCAGAACCATGGGCCTTTGGCCTGCCCGACACCATTGACTCGGGAGGGAGGGGTCCAGCAAAATTAAACAGGCACTTTTATGTTCTTTATGTCAGAGTATCAGAGAGGAGGGAGGCACTTCCAGCTGCATCATATGGACCTGGCATCAAAAGCCCTGCCCTCCTCCCTCTGCTCCTCACACCAAGCACTTACCACCTGCTAAATCCTCACCCCTGCTCCTCACACCAAGCACTTACCACCTGCTACATCCTCACCCCTGCTCCTCCATCACTGCTCCTCTCCTGGACCATAGCAGCAGCCTCCTAACTGGCCTCCCTGCCTCCTTTCTGCCTTTCTCCTTCCAATTCATTTGCCCACAGTGGCCTGTGATATTTAAAAATGCAAATTTGATCAGTTAACACCTAATGTCAATAGATTGGACGTTTATTGGGTGCTCTCCTTGTCAGGACCCAGCTGAGGCCTTCAAGCCCACTGCTTCTGGTCAGGCCCCTGCGTTCCCATGTGACTGATCCAGTGTGACTGATCGGGTGGCCTTCTCCAGTCCCTTCCCTCCCCTGCTCCCCCACCACACTACACACAGCCAGGAGGAGCTTGCACCCTGTTACCAGCCACACGTGGCTCTCTAGGCTTCCGTGCCTTTGCACCTGCAGCTTTCTAGGCCCAGCACCTCCCCCCACCCCCACTTGACTGACTCTTAGTCATCCTTGGAGACTGAGGTCAGGTATCATCTCCCTCAGAACCCCTTTCTGACTCCCCACACACAAAGCCCCCTCCTTATCGTATCACACTCTAATCGCCAGTTTCCCGTCAGTCTCTCCAGGAGACTGCTCCGGCCTGGGGTGTACACCCGGATAGGCACACAATGAGGCCAGTAACCGCCTCGAGGACGCCGGGATGAATGAATGAATCACAGAGCCCGGGCGTGTGAGCAGAGACCGGAATGCGCTGGGAGTTGAGCAAGGCTGCGGGCCACCCATTCATTCTCTCATTCATCTCCAAGCCCCCCACCCTCCGCACTCACGCGTGCCGAGGCGCGCGGTGGGCATCCAAGCGGCAGGGCCCAGGGGGCGGAGAATGGGAAGGGGCAGGGCTCGGGCAGCTTCTCCGGAACCGAGAGGCGGAGCAGGGCAGCGGGGGGTGGGGGGGCCCGGAGGGCGCACAGGATGCCTGGGTCCGGCGCCCCGGACCGCTTTTCCCCGCCCCCACGTTACCGACAAGTAAAGTAAGTCCCCATCAGGCTGAGTTCCGGTGCCACGGGCTCCTGGACCCCGCGCGGATGGAACCGAGCCGACCCTCGGTCCCCAGCGATCACCGGGCCGGCGACCCCCGCCTCCCGAACAGCAGCGCCTGCCCGGCTCGGC